TGTGTCCACTGTGACTTCCCATACAAGAGACCATTTTATGAAGGATTCTGAAAGAAGGGTCCAAATAAAACATGGGCTGATTTGCAACTGAATGCAACATATACATTTATCACAGCACATTACATGAAGACTGGGGCCAGAACCCTTGTGATCTATGCTGTTGTGCTGAGAAGGTGCTTTCCCTTCTCAGCCAATGGAATACGTCTAAGTAGTACGTACTTACTACTGTGAGCTCAGCCACTTTCTAAAGAATGACACTTGAGGCTCAGGCTCCACTTATGTATTTCTCTGTGGCATATATCACAGTTTAGTAGACCTGCCCACAGCAATTTAACAGACATAATTAAATAGATCACTTCAGCAGTGAGGGTAGCCAGCACCATTAATATTATGCCAAGCGTGATTTAGGATCAAAATCTTGCAAGACAGACGCTTTCTCAGACAAGCAACATCATTTTCTGACTCGTTTCTAGGTTGCTCCTGTCCCTAAAGTAATACAGAGCATATCCAGACACTGGATTGGAAATGGATTATTATGGTGAATAAAAGATGATTTTCACCTGTGATTTTCCCTTTCATTAGTTTAAGTTTCTCATTAAAAATCTTTTTTTTAAAGTTACCCAACCACTGAAACAAACAAATCCGTAAGACTGCCATTTTCTATTAATCTTACAAGTCTGTCAAGACAAACATTCTATACATATTTTAAAACAGGGTAGCATTCTACATTTATTCAAATGAGTTGGTAAATTGACTGTAGCATAGGACAAGGTTTTCCTTTTAAAGGAGTCTCTACATGTAAGTAGTTTACCCACCAATCCCAGGAGCGTGTGTGAGGCTCAGGTGACTGGACCTGCTGTCAGGCATACAGGAACTTAGTTTAATCAGACATAAGACTCAGAAGAACAGGGGTCTTTGCATTTGCTGCTCAACACTTGTCTTAATTACAGGTGAAGACCTAACAAGTGCAAGCCCACAAGAAACAAGAATAGAAAACTAGGGGAGGTTGAAAGGAACAAGAGAATGAATGCATAGTTCTGAATTTTAATATACCAAAATCTCAAAGTGAGTATTAATGAAGAAATTTTCTGAGTACAACCAGGGAGGCTAAGTATGTAAGGCAGTCAATGTCCAAAAGCAGACTGGGTATGTTATGTTCCCAGACAGATTCACATTAGTACACAGTACACCAAACATTCACTGGTATCTGGGCTGGAAAATGTTTCTTTCTGTGCTCAGATAAGATAGGTAAAAACATTTTAAGTTGTATGTAAAGGCAAGTTAAAGGGTACACTAAAATGTAACCTTTAAACTTCACAATGTAACAGCATACCACTTCCTGTTCAGAGATAGCACTCCAAGATCAATTAATCATGGCCAAGACGAACAAACGGTCAACACTGTTAATTAGTGTTGATGCATTCTCCTCTGTGCCCTCATCTGTCATGAAGACTGTTTAAAAATCTCAGTTATTAGTCTTTATTGAGGAGTGGCTCTGGTTAATATCTCTAAGAATAGAAATCATTCATTCATCCACTATACACTGGTACCTGATAATTCCTACCCCGTTTATAAGCTACAGATAACCACCGCCCTAAGACCATCTTGGTAACTATAAATCAAAATGAGCGTAGCTCCCATGCAACCTGGGTTAATTTTTGTTTACAATATATCCACTGAAAGTGTTGGTACGACACTTGAGGAGACTGCTTATAGATGAGTGCAGAGGAAGATATATAAAGTAGTCAAGGTAGAAAGGAAAGATGCACATCAGCTACACAAAACACAGCAAAACCTCTCTAATACACACTAATGACTAGAAAATCCATTGTGATTACTGAACTGTCAATTCCAAATTTAAGCAAAGAACCTAAGTGCACAAAACACAATTAATTCACTTGGTAACTATTGTTTCATTTATATTATTCAATGTAAGTCAAAGTATTTGACAGCAACCTATTTACAAAAGTTTTAAGTTACTGCACTGAAACTCACAGGAATTTGTTAATCTTAACAATAAGGCTTACTCTCCTGTTTCTGGTGCAAATGGAGTGGTAGCAGAACACATAAATAAGCACGCTTCAAATACTCTTTATATTAAATAAGATTAAATTACCACAAAGCTAGTTAAAAGGAAAGTTAAATTTAAAGATTCAATGCCAACTGTGTATTTTAGGGTTATTGGGATCTTATGACTTAAAATTAATATGAAAAAGGAAAAAAAATCTACATTAAATGTTACAATTCTTTTTGTTGTTTACAAAACACATAGACAAAAATCTATGGAAAGACAGAGTTAACTGATAATCAGACATAAGTGCAGAAAGCAGGTCTGGGTAAGTCCTTGACTCAGTTTTCTACTCTCTCTGACCAAATGAGTAGGTCAGGCTATGGAAAAGAAGAACTGTAGGGGAAGGAAGAAAGAATGAAAAATAAAACTGAGCACCCAGGAAGAAAACAGTCACCTTAAATAAAGTACTGCTTTCACATAGGAGGACTGCAAAACAGAGAAATATGCATTTCTTACAGCAGTATTAGTAAGTGAAAATGGACAAATCCCAAGCTAAGTATACTTAAAAGAGGAACACTAAATATAGGTCCAAGCTTCAAAATGATGGTTTCAACTGGGCTTCCGAATTCTTATCTAGGTATCTAAACACCGGCCCAATGCTTTCCAGTTGCTATGAAACAAAGTAACTGCATTCTTGGCAATTTTCTTCAATTTTTATCAGAAAGTTAAGTGTTGGAATAACTTGCCTGTGGATACAAATGTTTCTAGTCTTTAAGTGAGCATACCTGGGTATTTTCCTGAAAGACAGGTATAGCTCAAAAATCAAGAATAATCCTGAGGCAGAAACTACTGAATGAAAGTATTTCTCCTGTATGATGCGAAAGGTCAAATAAATTCGTAAATTCATCAAATGGCCTTAAAACTATTATTGCTCTTGTACTGCATACAAATGTCTTACCAGTTACTGAGTAAAGAACTTGAGCTATACTGAACACAGTGATTCCACCTGAAGAACTTGTAAGTACTGGTAGCTTTATCCGTTCATAATTTGCAAGAGTCAATACCATACTTCTATATAAACACTTACCTTGTCTTCTATTTATGAAACAATAGGAGCCTGACTACACTTACTTCTCACAGATCATTAAAGTATTGGGGTGGAAGCCCTTCTAGATAGTATTCTGCTATTACAGAATTCAGAAAAGCAACACACTTCTAAAAGTGTAATTTTTATCATGCTGAAATAAAGAAAGAAGAGACCTGTGTAAACAGCATCCCCTGCATGTTCCACATGTACAACAACAAACATCCTTAGGATCACATGGAAGCAATAGTTTGCTTTTCTTTAAGCACAGCTTCTGAAGGAAAAAAAGGTAGCAAGCAAGCATGCTGTTCCTTCAGCTGCTATTGTGATAAAATGAAAGCCCTTACAGTAGTGTCAGCCTTTATCTGAAAACTCACCTATGAAACCAGATACTATTTGCAGAAGCTCCTAAGGAAATACTTAAAGAATTGCAGACATGTAAATGAGAAAAATATATATATTTGAGGTACATAACAGAAATGAAACTCCTTCAAATGGAAACCAGTGTCTTGATCCTCTACCTATGGTGTGATTCCAGCAAAAGAACATTATTTATTCCACATTACAGTGTATCTTACTGTAGATATTTCATAAGATTTGCAGAACTCCAGCTAGGAAGTCCAATTCTGGGGCAAAATATAAATCAGTGAAAAATACTTTTCATCTGAATTTCAACAGAATCTGTATTATTGACTCTGGTCTGCTAGAGTACAACACAGTCTATGTTATACTTTCAGAAGTGCTATTTATATATTGTAACTCTAAGAGCTTCTCTGTTTTCTTCCCAGAAAATAAGTAGTCTTTCATAATTAATATCATGTTACAGCATCACGCTAGCAACACTACAGTTAATGGTTCTGAATGAAAGTGTTGTTTCTACATTATTTTCAAATGCATTTAAACAATGCTAACTTGCTGGAAGAGGTGTTTTTTTTGGGTTTGCTTATAAGAACATTGTGACATGGACACAAATTACCTGGAAAGTAACATATCAAACCTGGTTTTGGTTGTTCAAATAAACACATTTACAATGTTAAAAAAAAAAAAAAAAGAAAAAAAAAAATCAATAAAAAACCTGTATGTGCTTCTACCACTTTGTTTCTAAAATTGCTTTCTCTTCCTTTCAGCATCTTCAATTACAAAAAAAAAAAAAAGTTAAGAGAGCCAGGATCGAGTCCACAGATATGCTAATAAGGATGTTACCATAAAATTTCTTAGCTGAAAATGGGGGAATTTGGAATGTATCTAATTGGGAAATTACCTAGGTGATGGTTATTTAAAGAAGCATATTTTGGTGGTCAGAAGAAAACCACTGTATTACACTTACATGATCAAAAGAAGACAGGTTAAAAAAATCCCAAAACAATAGGAAATAAGTAACCTCATGTGCAAAACTACAGACAGCATGCAAAAAAAAAAAGCCTCATAAGCAAGTCATAAATATTATGCCTAGTGCATAATGTAGTTACTTTAAATAATACATATATATATCAGAACTTAGTTTAGCAGTCTCTTGACATACAGAACCATCAAATATACCTGTTATTACATCCAGGAATGCTTCCCAGTTCTCTATTCTAGATGTATGACATGGCTATATCCTTAGGCCTTCTCAAATTCACATATGGGCGAGAGAGAGATCTACTCCAGTGTGCTGCTCTCCAAGCAAAGAAAACACAAGGAAAGAGGCTGCAGGCTAGGTAAAGCATGATGCAGCAAGTCCCTCAGCCACACTTCCCAGAACCAGAATCCTGAGGTACACCCAAATATGTCATCTGTACACAGCAACATCACACAAGACAGTATTTAGTTTTCATTTTACAAAGATATATGCCCTGTGCCATTTTTTCAATAGGGAGTAAGACACAGAGTTTTTAAATTAATACTTAAATATTAATAACTTACTTTTATTTCCAACCAAGGCCACAAGTGGCTGTGTTTCTGATTCTTCATTCACTTTTTTTACCGCGTTATACCAGTCTTCTAAATTTTCAAAACTCTGGCCGTTGGTAATATCATAAACCAAGAGAACAGCCTAAATAACAAGACATATAAAAAACATTACTTGTTGCAAAAATATTTTAACATGGTAAAATTTGCACCCATCTAAATTATTCTTATCATAAAACAGACCATTAACAAATAATGACATTGTATTTTTTCAGGAATAATCAAAGGAATTACAAGTTTCTGTAATAAACACATTATTACAGTATTACTCCTGCATTCCATGTATTCCAAATTCAGATTCTAACTGAACTACAAGGGCAGAAAAAAAGAAGACAATTCAGTAAAGAGCACCATTAGTTATATTAGAAATATTCCAAACTGCATATGCTTTATGAAAACCCCAAAAGCACATCACACTACTAGTAAAGTAAAAACTACACTCCAGAATAACTTTTATTTTAGATGATGTTATTTGTAGTTTCACTGTTCCCTTTTTGAAGGGAAAAAAAAAAAACAAACAAAAAACAAAGCAGCTCAACTGTACACTTCTGCACATTGCCTGACTCGTTTCTCTACTCTCCTTTGAGGAGAAAGGCCAGATCCCTTCACTCACTCACTGTTGGAGGAGATAAGCAAGAAGTACCGGCAAGCTTTAAACTTTCAAAGAAGAAATTAAAGATGTGGTCAGGAGGCAGTCCCGTGTATTTCAGAGGTTTTGTGCCAGGCTACTCATAACAAATATTCACAGCAGGTGTTACTGAAGATTCCTCAGAGCTCATGTCCAGTATTATAATGTACAGCCTATTGACAGCCCAAACATCCACCTTCTCCCCTCCATAATTATAACATCAACTCTCACAAATCACTCTCAATTACTTAGGCATCTGCCCCTGCTTTCCACCTCACTCCAATAAAGTATCTATCTTGAAAATAAGGAATAAAATCAGAATTGGCTTCTTCTGCACTTGTTCTCACTGAGTTCACATCTGCAGAAAAAGAAAAGAAATATCCCTGCAACTGCACACTGTCCCTTACATAAAATTTGCACAAATATTCTAAAAGAAGACCCCAATATAATGCATACAAAACTAGCTGGTTCAATGACCCACTGTCAGCAGAAGAGATTTTTTTCAAGTCAAGTGTTTTCAGGCATTTGTCTGGGCCAAGCTTTACTTCATAGTTTCATGAAGAGTGTCTTCGATCACAAAATAGGATGCACGCTTCTTAAATTAATTTCACAGATGACAACAAACTGGTAGAGACCGCAGGATTATTTGAGGAGAGTTTAGATTATGTGATGAGAAACAAGCTAAAAATAACAGGATGCAATTCAATAAGTACCATGACAAGTTCAAAGGAAGCAATAATCACCTGCACAATAGGAAACATCTGGCTTTGTAACAGTTTCCATACAACAGGATCAAGGAGTTATAGTAGATCACAGTTGAACACGTCAAGCTTATTTTATAGCAAGAAGGCAAATATCACACTGACATGAAATATTCCAGGTGAAATAATGCATTCAGCTTTGGACATTAAATGTCAAGAAAAGGGTAGACTAGAAGAGACCAGTAACAGTGTCGGAGGTTCAGAAAGCATGACTGACATCAGAAATCTGAAAAAATCCTTGTATTTTAATGCAACACTGATGGCAGGTATGATGATGCTGATAGATGTTTCAAGATAAGATAACAGTTATCTTTTTATATGCTCTTATATATAGGCTGCAGGTGACACTAACTTGGGAGGACCAGCCAAAACACCCGAGGGCAGGGCTACCATTCAGACATGCTGAAGGAATGGGCAAACAGGAACCTTTCAATATTCAACCAGGACAAATGCAAAGCCCTGTATCTAGGGATAAATAAACAATACAAGCTGGGGGGACTGACTGGCTAGGGAGCAACTGAAAATGACCTGCAGGTCATGGTAGACAGCAAGCCACATATGAGCCAACAATGATCCCTGGAAACAACAATGGCCAACATGATCCTGGGGCTGTATTAGCAGAAGCACAGCCACGAGATCAAGGGATCTATTTCATTCTACTCAGCACTTGCTAGATCATATCTGAAGGAATACATCCACTCTCAGCCCCCTCAAGAGATCAATAAAGTGATGGGCCGCCAAAATTCTAAGACTGGACACTTATCCTATAAGGAAGAGCTGAGGGAACCAGAATTCTTCAGCATGAAGAGGATGTGGCCCTGGGAGAACCCAAAAGCAGCCTTTCCATACCCATGAGGAAGCTATAAAGGAGATGAAGCCACGCAAGTGCATGGTAGGAGGATGAAACAACGGGCATAAACTGAAACAAGAGAAATTCAAATTAGATATAAGGAATAGGTTTTTTCACCAGGAGGAGAATCAAGCAGTCAAATACGTTGTCCAAAGAGGTTGCTCAGTCTCCATCCTCAGAGGTTTTCAAGAAGGAACAAGTGGATAGAGCCTTCTACACAGCTGACCCTATACTGAGCAGGAGGCTTGACTAGACCTACTGAGATCCCTTCCACCTTGAACTTTCTTACGATTTTGTGATCAATATGACATGAAGCAACAGGTTTAACTTCAGCAAGAAGACTATAGCAAGGGTACATATTAGGAAAAATAAAAAAAGCAAACCCATAGACAGTAAGAATAGTAAAGCTCTGAAATATACCACCTTCAGAAATAGTCACCAACACTGGAGGATTTTTGACGGCTGATAAAAATGAAATAAACTTTATACACGTATAGCCTCAGAAGAGGCTAACAGATCCTCCCTAAATCCTTTCAATTCCTACTTCCCTGTGATAGCAATACAAATCTATTTCTAGCTTCAATGCCATCAACTCTTGGAAAAATTAGTTCTTCATTGTTATATTTATATGGCTGCTATTAATTTCTGTGGAACAGCTTTCACCAGTTCCCTCAAAGAAATTAAGAACTCTCACACATCTTCTCCCTTGCTATCTTTTCTTCTTTACCAATGAAATCCAATACTAAATACCCACTTTTCCTCTTTCAACTTCTGTACAATTTCTTCCTTCCTATCTTGCATTTCAGTTAACTTTTCTTGACTATTTTTATAACTATGCAAGTGCCTGTGCATGCATATATTTGTCTTCCATAACATCAGACTTGCTTTAGAAAGGGTATACTTGATGTTAAATGCTCAGTGGAAAAGAAGAAACACAAGCTGAAGGACAGGTATTGTAAAAGTTAAAAAACCTCAGACATAAGGTTGAATGCTGTAAATAACGAAGTGCACATGGCATGCTTCTTTCACCAGCAGCCAAGTTCTCTCAGCAGCTTGCAGAAAAACAGAGCAGACTACCTAAACCATCTTCAGCACTGAAAAGTTTTATCAGAATTAGATATAAGATAAAGTTAGAATCTGAGCATTTAAGATTGGCCAACTCTCATTCTAACTAATTCTTCTTAAAAATGCTATTCTGCTACATGTCCTTTAGCCAAGTGCAGCCTACCTACACGTCTGGAAGAAAGGAAATTCACAGTGGATTTACCATGAAAGATATCATTGAACATAGTTTGCTACTGGAGCTCACCTTACTTCCTCTGGGACCCCTTCTCCATGATCTAAAAGATTTCCTCTAAAGCATATTCTTTTCTTAACCACTCTTTTTTTAAATCTTGTCAATATTTGCTATGCTTAAGAAACAAAGACAGCAGGTATGACATCTTAGAGATGTAAGAAAAGGCAGCATGGCATCCAGGTCATAAAAAATATTTCTTGCTTTGATTTCTGCCACAACAGCGCTCTACAAGTAACTTTGTATGATATACGTAACTAATGAAGGACTAGTCATAACTCAAAGCTAAAATTCATTTCAACTTTTTTTATTTAACATTGAAATCCCATCACAAAAAAAAACCCGTATATTTTCCACAGTATATGGAGTACAGAACAAGCAAATGGTATAAAAGCTGTTGTTTCCCTCTTATGTATGCGCAATTAAGGTGGAAAATTAACACTGGCCTTTTTACATAGAAGTAGCCCATTTCCCTGCCATGAAAAAGGTTTGAAACACATGGCGGACAACATGCCAAGAACAGCATGTTAATTCTCTAGTCTCCAGCAACATGGCAAATAGTCCCTGCTTGCATAACTGCACTCTAGTAAGAGAGACATTCTGCCTGTATTAGTGCATATGTGAGTGCTTTTTGTTTTGGAATTACAGAGTATTTTAAAAAATAGGTCACTGGAAAGTGAGAATATTGCAGGAATGATTTGCTGGTCTCTGGAGAAGGAAGGGTCTGCAATACTTTTATTCTATTAACAAGCCAATTTATGGGGTAGCATATGCCAGCTCTTAAAGATACTTTAAATTAGGTATGTGGGTAGAGGCAGCAATTACAGGTAAGAGATGGGAGTGGTTCCGAAATATTTACCATGCAAACAGCAGTGGTACTATTATACAGCAGAACTGCTATTATGGAAGTGTTGTAACCAGGCAATATATTCACACTAGACAATCAACATTTAAAAGGTGTCAAGTTTATGTCAAGATCTGTCACAATAAAATAAAGCTACAGAAAATACTAATTAAAACCATATGTTTTCTTCTTCAGATTTATCCTCAGCTGCCCTCATCCTATGACTGACTTTAGTATAAAGGTACTAAATTAACTTTCATACTTTCATTAATATTTATGAAATATGTCAGACCAAATTTCTAAAATATTTTTTCTAGTCACAGATAATTCATTTTAGCAAAGAGTAACTTCATTATGATACAAGATATCATAATGCATAGCATATCTGCACATCTGCAAAAATGCTATTTTTACAAGTGAAAACAGCTTAAGGTCTACATATACTTAACCATAGCTGTCTTTGCTAATACAGAGGATATGGTCACTCAAACGCACACGATTAAATTGCTGTAACAGAATGAGCTACTGTCCATCAGTTCAGCTGTGGTAACTGACTATACAATTACTACTAGCCTCTCTCAATTCTGAGATAAATGTGTCAGTTTTAATCACCCCTGACAGAAAGCTGTTTATTAGCACCTTTTATTTACATAGATCAGAGAGCTCCTTTCCCCCCGCAATTTGCAGAGTTCTTCTGACCCATCTGTGAAATGCAGCTACCAAGACAGGATGCAGCAACACCAGATTAGAAACAGGTAGCGAAAAAACTGCTCTAAGACAGCTAACGGTCTCTCAATAGCAGCTCTGCGTTCCAGCACAATGACCATCCATCACCAGCTTGGTGCCATTTGCAAACAATGATTTGTTCCACTGTTCAAAGAATTAATAAGACATAACCTCAGTACCAAGCCCTAAGGAATACGCCTTATAACCACACACTAGTAATAGACTGAGCAGTGGACCATCTCCCTTTAAGTCCAGCTGTCCATTCAGTTTTACATTCACCTTATGGTCCATCCATCTCGTCTGTACCTCTACACTTTGTCTGTAATAATATTATGGGAGATTACATCAAAGACCTTGCTGAAGTCAAGGTAAATGACATCCACTGCTCTCCTCCCCACAGAGCCAATCATCTAACCACAGAAGGCACTCAGGTTGGTTGGGCAACACTTAATCATTCCTAATTACATGCTAGCTATTCCCAGTTACTCTCTTGCTGCTTTGCTCTCCATTTACAGGAATTTTTATACATACCTATAATAATTTTTCTTTCTAAATACTCCTACTTCCTCTTTTTCTTCTAAAAAGCCACAGATGTTCAACATGAAATAAGCTTCTACCTAGAAATACGCTGAACACAGTGCCCTTCTGAATTATTTGTAGTGTTTCACGAATTGATGAAAATAAGGATAGTTTCATGCGTCTTTAACAGGATGCTTTTACAAAGCTAACAGAAAAGTGTGTTACAAGTCAGGTTTGATGATAAGAAGCCTATTACAGACAATGGGAGAGAAAACAGCTATTAGTACATTTAAAAAAAAAACCAAAACAATAGGGTTACAATAAGGGCTGGGGGAAGATTAAAGGAGAACAGCTTTGATGTAGGAGTTTTCTGTTAATGTGCTCAGAATGACTGAAAGTCAAACTTTTGTAACTTTAGGCTTACTGATATCCACTTTTTCACTATTTTGGGGCACTGGTATTAACTCTTTGACCTGCTATTGCTGATAAGAAACTGCTAAGATTATCACCAAATTCAATACAGAAGAAGTTAATAGCCTTTTATTTCCTTCAAGTTTACTTTGGGCATATGGCAACAATTTGTGATCAATCAAATTCTCTGTCATGGAAGCCACTTTCTTCTGTTGCTTGGTAGATTTTTAACAGGGCAGCAATTATTTTTTTTTTTATTAAAAAATAAGAAAATGCTATAAAACAGATGCAACAGTTACAAACATTCAGACATTTTTTGAAAGTGACAGAATGTTAAATTGACAAGTTTGTCTTTATCCCATTAATTAATAAATCCTGGTCTCCTTAATTAGCCATTACTGTGCTGTACTTGTTAGTACAAAGTTTCTGTCCAGTAAGTTTTAGGATTCCATACTCCTATTGCCTAAAGCACTAGGGGAAAATTATGTGCATTCATTTTCTTTTTAGATAAATTTAACATTATATAATAAAACAGGTTATGCCTATTGTTCTCATCACAAACTCCAAATTAAAGAACAGAGTATACTTTAGGATCGCTCACATTAAGAAGTTTGGCATATAGTACATCCTCCAAAATCATCTCATAACTCTAGATACTTTTATAATATTTAGCTCTTACTTAATCCTACCATTCACTTTAAGTTGCTTAGTTAACCTCCAGATAAAATTAATTTCCACTGGATAGGAGTTCTGCAAAAATATTTAGCTACCTGGTTGCCTCCTTTTGTTTGCCCTCTTATAACCCCAGTTGCATGTATAAGTTTAATGGTGTAGGATTGCCCTTAATTTCCTCCTTCTACTTTTCCCCCCAGGAGGCACCTGTACTAAAAGCAGCCACTCTATATCTGCCATGTGGATATCCAAATAGCCTTTTATTTACTATGATTGCTTTTCTTAACTCAAGACACAAAGCATGGAAACATACATACATCTGTTCTTAAGAGTTATTCAGATCTACAAATGCGTACTCGTGCTTTGCTTTTTAAGTCAGCTCTAAAAAATTAACAAAATAAAAAACTTAGATGTGCATATTAATATGAATTAAGTTTAGGTTAAGCAGTGATTCAACATTTTTGAGATTTACAATATAATAACCTACAAGATATGTATAATTTTAAGAAGAAACTTTCAGGGAATTTCATATAATTACTATAGATACTATTACCGTGATTTATACTGTACCTGAGCTCCATAAATATATTTATCCAGCATTTTGCCTCCTATCGTTTGTCCCCCTACATCCCACACTTGAAGAGTAACATTCAAATTACCTGAAAAAGAAAATGATACAGATATTGGGTAACCTGGAAAATTTAAATACAAATAAAATTAAAGATATATTATCACAGCAGGTAACACAGATCTAGTATATCAACAGCAATAGCTTTTACAAGTATACAATAAATAGTAACTGAATTAATTTCAACACAAAGATGAATGTGTCAGTTAAAAAAACTCACTTGTGTCCAGCTACGTTAAGATGCAGTAAAACTACAGCTAGATATTAACATATTTAACACTAACAGAAAAATAACTGGAATTGCTTAGTATAACATTCCTGACTAGAAATTATATACCATACTTCACTGAAGAAAACTATAAAATTTTACAGAAAGAGTTCTAAAGCACAGTAGTTGGAATTGAAAGGTAATATAATTAATGCCAACTTCACCACATTATTTCACATGCTGTGTCCCTTCCCTACCTCTCTCCAAGTTTTCTTTACAAATCTAGAAGTGGGGAAAATCTTCACAGTAACTGCATTTCGTAGTGATGCTCTTAGTACTATACAGTTAAAAAAATTAAAAATGTAAATACTGACACACATCTAACTTGAGGATGCAAAACTATGATTATTTCCTCCACCTACTACCCCAAAGCTGGCAACTAAACTGTATGTGATTTAGATGTCCATTTTCATCTTTGAAGGATCTACACCAAGAATAGATCTTCTTTTCTCCTCTAAACAGTTTTTAAGCTACACTGAAAGCGGTAACAGGCTTTCAAAAACAAAGAAACAAAAAATCGTGAAAATACAGAATATTTAATATCAAGTCATACATATTTTGCAAGCTAATAACTCAAACTCACAGACTAAACACACACACACACACACACACACAAACATAGTAAAGTATAATTTGGATCATGTTGCATGGTGAAAACTGTTTTCAAAACTGTACTGATTACCTGGAAGCACCAAACTTTAATACAGTGAGGTCTGATGAAAATTTTTCTAGCCTACATAAAACTCACATGACTTCCATGTTAATAACAATTCTATATACTCACAAATAATCATAACCCCCTACTGATTTTACTCCTCGATTTAAAAAAAAAAAAAAGGGCAACAAATTCCACGTCACAACAATTGAGAGTCGAGTGAAAAAGAACAAATCATTTTTGACTGCTAAGAAAGGTACACTCTTAATTCAATTATTTTCTTATTCACAACTTTATTTTACACAATGTGATCTATTCCACAATTTATAACACAGTCATATTAGTTACGTAAGGAAGTGTGCTCCATAGAAATATCCCAGAACTCAGTAAATATAAACAATAAATTAGAACCATATAGCTGAATACATGCTATATGTAGTATTAAATATACCACATTTTATTTTCATGAAGCATCTCGCTTCAATCTGATTAAAAGTGCAGATTTCCTAAACTGTTGCTTTGCTTTCAAATATATAGAGATGAATGTGAGACAATCTACTCAGTATTTTTAAGGTACACTGCATTTTATCTAACAGTAAGATAAAGAATTTCTATGTGTAATACAATAAATACATCATAAATGTTGCAGTTCAATAAAAACAGAATAAAAAGCTTTTTTCTTTTCATAGAATAAAAAGCTTATTTCTTTTGACAGTGCATATATTATGCATTAATTATTTTTAAAGCTTAGAACATAACTGACTGCAAAGCAGGAAAGTCTTCCATAAAGCATCCGGCATGGATAAGCTGCCCAATCCGCAGTCAGAAATGACCACGCATCCTCAGTGGGTAAATAAACTAAACATGCTCAAAGGCTCACCACACTGCAGTGTTCTACCCCTAACTTGGTTGGTTGTATTGTTCTGGAAATTTACCATGTCATTCATGCCAGATACTTGAGAAAAATACTTTATAAACATTATCACTTTCAAACTCAACAATTTTCAGATGCCTAATTTTGTGTTCAAATGCTTTAAAAATTTTCTAACTTCATTTTTCCTCCTAAGAGTAGTAATTACGCACAGCATACTGGGCTTAGTATCTGGGTAACTGTATGAAATTATCTGAGAAAATTTAATGCAGGAAGTTAAATTAAACGGTATAAGAGTGGCTGTTCAACTTAAAAATCTACTGTTATGAATTATTTATTTCCCTTCACTACAGCAGAAAAAAAAAGAAACTGGAAAAAAAAAGATTGGAATGTTCATTTAAGGTGAAGTGATTCTTCAGTAAGACCTCACTAACTACTAAAATTCATGCTGATCATCTCCAGTGCAAAATCCTTCATTTCCTTTTTCTTTTTTTTTTTTTTTCAGTTAGGTACCATAATATTTTTGTGTTCAGAAATTGATTTTAAGGGTAAAAGAATGATATTAGAATTATTCTGACCGAAGAAAAACTCCAGACAACGTGCCTAGCAAATACTTAATTAACAACTATGATAGTAGCACATGAAGTTTTCTGCAAAGAGTTTGAAATGTTCTATGTTTGCATAGATTTAGGAGGAACATGCAAGCTGGAAAACGACAACAAAAAGAAACCACGTATAAAAAGACTTAAAAATTTAGAAACAAGTTTAACATACCAATAAAAATAACTAAACAATCCCATAAAAATAATATGCAATATGCTGATATGGAACAAGAAAACATTAGTACTTCTTTGCTCTGCAGAAAACACAAGTGCAAAGTTAAATTGAGGCAACACAGTGCAAGTATCTAGATTGCTTCTGGTATGAACTGAAGCCACTGGGCTGACTCAGTAGTGATTCTGCAGAAGTATACTTGTTGCACTGGTTAACCTTACTTGAAGTGCTGCACAATCAAGATGAAACTAAAAACACGAGTCTGCCCACTTTTTGCACTGACTTAAAAAAAAAAAACCTTTTAACAGAAGAATCCTGTTTACCGGACTGCACCCACAGCCCTCCTAAAAGTATTCAACTATGGCTCTTAAGAATCTCCATCAGCAGACCCTCTGACTAACAGATACGCTATATAAGCAGTAAAATCTACACCACGGTTGCATCCAGACTACACAAGACACTGCATCAATAAATATACTGAAATTGATTTGCATTTGAAAAAAAAAATATTTTTAACAAACTGCAAGAAGAGAATTTGCCAACAGTTGAACACCGAAAGTCGCTTTGTTCAAAATTAATCAAAGGTTTTCCTGTTTGTACTAAGCCATATTTTTTTACCGTGTAAAATACTTATTTTCATTGCAAAACTGCATCAGTTACTAAAACTGGAGACAAATAACACTCTTATTTTTAAAAAAGCCCCAAAAACAGAAAAGCAGTACTTTATTTTACAACCTAAAATACATTTCTAAAGTGGGCTAATGTAAACTTATGTGCAATTCTAGAAATCATTAACTTTAACTTCTGAAAACTTTGTTTGCAAGAAAAAAAATTCAACTACTGAACCACAGTTATGCACCAATTCTCCTACTAAATTAGAGAAATTGAGGGGGTTTTCCTGTTGATATACATATTATCATTTCTGTGCAACGGTATGAATTAACTTTTCAAGTAAATACAGCAGCTCTGCAAACCCAGAACTAATCAAGAAATTAGAAAAATCCACTTACTTAAGTAATGCTTCCCATTCCAGTATTTAGAAATTTTACCTCCCTCCCTCTTCTTTCCCTCACTCCCCACCACCAGTTCAGCTTACCTATAAAACACAGAAATCCATAGATACCTAAACACATATATGGGCATAGGCAAAACCAGAATGACAATCTACAGAAAACTGCTTCTTTCTGAACATGAATACATTCCACAGACATTACTATTTTGTTAGTGATAAATGAGGAAAATAGATGTACAGACTTTGTTGCCGTTTTGGTGCTATATGGTGCTATAAAACATTCTGATTTTACTACAAAATAAACTAGAAGAAAGTAAAACATGAATGAATCAATAGTTGATAATTTTCCAAATTTTCTACTCCACAAGAATATTTAGAATCCCAGTAACATACTAATAACTTCTGTATGCTTAACAGCTGGAAAAAAACTTGCAAAATACAAGTTCTCAGCATGCACACTACATGATTTGTGTACACATTCCACTTGCAAGACTGCTGTTAAGTATTATACACACTGGTATTTTTAGAGGCATGAGTAGGACAATAAAAAAAATTATTCTGTCGATTTTATGGAGAAATAAGCACTGAAATTTGGTACTTTATCACTCATCAGATACTAAAAAAGTACAGCAAAATTGCCAAACCAAAATAGCGAATGCAGGAATAGTCTGAAAAGATTATTCTGTTTCACTTATCAAAATATATAAACATAATGAAGAAATTATTTGCAATATAATTTTAACAAAATAAGTCCAAGAACTGTATATATTTCTTATAACTTCAGGCTACAGCTAAAATGCTTCATTTCTGCTTTGCTTCCCTCCTCGTCCTCCACAAGGAAAAGAGACAGAACTCACATCAACTTTATCAAACCTCACTACAACATTTAATAATTACACATATTTTGCTATCTTCTTCTGACTTTTGAAGCCAGAAGAAAATTCATTTAATGAAATACTTGCATACTTCAAAACTAAGCAAACACAAAATCAATGAAAAGACTTATTTCAAACCCCCAATTGTTCAGAGACAAACTTCTACCAGCAACTATTCTTTTTTAATTATTTCTTTTCATTTTCCATGCAGTGTGCTGCAACTGGCATCTAAATAGTTTCTTTGCAGTCCTGAACTGAAACATCTTGAATGCTCAAACTGTATTTTTATGAGTGTCGAGGGACCCTAAATTTTAGTGGTCTATTAAATGCCAGCAATTTCATGCTGCCTTGCATAAAACAGCATTCACATATTAGAGCGCTGCAATTCCATAGCTGCATTATGCTTCTCTCACACAACTCAAATACAAGTTGTGTATTTCATTAAAAAAATAAAATAAAATAAAATCTATTTCTTTCAAAGCACAAATACTTTTTGAATGAATATATTTAAAGTTCCATTTCATTGTTGTATGTTACACTATCCACATGGACAGCGAGTACACTCACATAGAGATAATAAAAATCGTTAATATAGATAGCATTCCTTTTATTTGAATTCAGTGTTTTATTTAAAGATGTAAGTTGCAAATGCATAACCCTTTGTCACCTGGCAAGAACATACTTACAAAATTTTCTCTGAATAACCTGATTTAATTTGTCATAAAAAGCACTGTGCTAAGCTTATTTGGTACACATTACTTTGAAGAATCTGCTTCTGCAAGTCTTACTCCTGCCCAACCTTTCAGTGCTACTTTTTATTCTCTTACCTGGCAATACTATCCTTTTCAAGAAGAAGTCCAATCCTATGGTTTGTCTGTACTGTTTTCCAAATGTTTCTTGAGCAAAACGTGTAGCTAAGGATGTCTGAAACAGAAGAATATCAAATTAAGTTGTCATTTTAAACAGCAGAAAACTTCATGTTAAACCAGAAGTATGACATACAATTAAGCACTTTTTAAATCAATGCATGCCAACAGTGTCCATGGATTTGGTCTGACGAGCATTCCAGCCAGCTTCAACATAATAAGAGAAGGTCACTTCTCTTATTAAAAAGGCTACTAATTTATGCAAAAAGAAGCAAGGTGCATACATCCTTTGTATTTCAAAGGTACTGTGATAGTCATATTAGAAGATGTTACACAGATTTGAATAAGATGTCATTCATACGCTCAAACCGAAACAAACCTAAGTGACAATATCCATACCTGAAGAGATTATTTTTAAAAAGCATTTATGTCCAAAACAAGGGTCCTTCCTTGGTACAGAACACCACAATCCCAGACCAGCTTTCTGGGAGGGAACACAGATCTGCACTGTGCAGAGTCCCACAGGGGCTCCAAAGTGTGGCAGATTCCTGCCACTGTATATCAAAGTTGCAGGATCAGGTACTAGATGATAGGAAAATTATTTTCTTATACATAGAAAATACTAAAGTCATCTTAAGAATTCACATTTGCAGAATCATTCCTTTAAGCAGAACTTTGGAAACTTATTTCTTCAATTTATTTTTTGTGGGTTTATGAAAGTAGACCAATACACTGTTGACCTAATAATCAGCTTTTACTGAATACTGTTAAAAGGATACACAACTAACCTACATAAAGTAATGAAGCAAGGCATTTATGTTCTTTCACTAGTCATTTAAGTTCTCAATGCAAGGGGGAAAAAAATGGAAAGAAAAAAAGAAATAAAAAAAGCCCCTCAAGCCACGGATTTAAAAAAAAAATAAAGAATACAAAAGCTTTTACTGTGAAAAAAAAACACATTAAAAATGAATGTCACACTGACAAAATGCGTCCTACATCAAATTAGTGGTGTGCATTTAACAAATCTCTTGTTGATGTGGCATCTGAAAAGATCAAGATAGAGTAATCGCAGAAAAAAAAATCTAAATATGTATTTACACATACAGGGGAATAAAAGCCTAAAGGCCTCACAAAACCCTTGCACTGCCTGAGAGAACTCAAATGGGCAAGAACTATTTTTTCTGCCAGCTTTCCATTCATCCAGACCCAAAGAGATGAGTCAGTCACATTGTTATTAGAAATAGCTGTTAAGAGCACACGGAGTTAAAAATGCAATAGCAAAATAATGCAAATATTCTGAAACAATGAGAATACGCAAGTTCTGTTAATAGAATGGTTATAACAAAGATCTGAATTATGCTAAAAATGTCAAACATACACAGAAAGAAAAGGTAAATTACTCTTTTTGCTTGAAAACAGGGTCACCAGAGCTCCAGCATTAAAGCTGTAGTACGAATAGGCAAACATTTATTCTGCTATTAAATTACCTGTGAAGTAAATACAAGATTTACTGTTTTCTTGTTTCTATATCACATTTATATTCCTATAATTGTCCCATATGTGTACTAAGTGATATTTTGATATCGGAAGATACGTTTAGGAAGTAATCCAAAAAGTCAATTAAAGACTATGGCAACATTTTCATTTACTTCACTGAAGTCAAGCCCCAAGAGGATTAAAAATAAATAAATAAACTGGGGGGAAAAAACCAAGTAAACTAGAAATAGCATGAATAGGGTTATATATTTATATCACTGTGGAAAGGGTGAAGACCACAGAGGATGAATCGTGAGAAGGTTCTTCTGCCTACATCTACGTGACAGACTACTAACAACATGCACAAAATAAAATTCAATACAGATTTAGACTGTAGTATTGAAAAAGTTAGTAGAACTGATTCCTTTAATCACAATAGTTAGTCTGTCAAGACTACAAAGACATTATTTTTAATGTCATGACCCTAAATATGTAGATAATAACATTGCAGGAATATACCATACAACCTTCTCCTTCACATTTTCCTTATCATAAAAGTAACCAGTACCCAGAGTACAGATTAAAATATCATTTAACTATATTAGTATCCTATATTCTCCAACACACTAATTTAGATCCCCATTAAATAAGCAACCACTCCCTTCTTGTTTTAAGGGCTCAGTAAATATTAGCTTTATCACTCTGCGACACTCGATATTCCCTCAGGGCCTCTAGGGGTGTTAGTGAAAATAAACAACATGCATTCAATTAACAGCCAAGCAATAAGAGCAGAGAATAATCAACAGCACGGCAAAGTTCTCAGACAGTTTTCCTCTACCATGCTCTTGAATGCAAAGGAATTTATAGCAGAAAATCATTGACTAACCCCTTTTTAACTTTTTTTCCTAATAAATATTAGAGCTCAAGGTGTTGGATTACCAGACTAGAATCCTCTATTCACAGAACAAACGTTTATCCACAAAATACTAAGAGCAAACAGTTCAAATTTCTCCACCACAGTCAACAAAGTTACATCAATGCATATTCAGGTACCTCTACAATGCAGATACTCCCTTCAATTCTAAAATTGTTCCCTGCCATGCTTGGCATAAACAATTCTGTATGACAGAATCTTTTCTGTCAATGTAAGGATATGTTGAGTGCGATCTATGTAAAAAAATAACCGAAGTTAAATAATCGTTCAGCAGAATTGTAGTGATCAGTGACTGGTTTTGAAAAAGATTATGCTACATTCATAAGATTTCAACCACCAGTATAGGGATCAGAGGACAGTATGATACCAAGAAGGCCTTGTTCGTTATTTATCTCCTAAGACAACCAGGCCACCAACTTTCATAGCAGACTTTCCATTAGACCCAGTCTGACAGGTTCATACATTTGTCTTAGATACTTCAAAGCAAATGTTTAGAATGTTCATATGCTGTTCTGAACAGCAATACACTATTGAAGGTTGGTGTGACAAACTCCCTCCTTTCAGACAATAAAAAGTCTGAGTTTCACATACAGCAATAAAAAAATAAAATATCAAATTTATAGTATTCTAAGGGCAAATACAGTGCAATATTTGGGAAGGTTTTTTTGGAAACAAAGATGCGATTAAACCACACAGGCAAGGCAAGATAATTCCCTGTTTCCATTTGTCAATGTCAACAAGTCACAGTACAAACTGCTGACATGCTGTTCCTAAACACCTACCTACCGTGTAAACAGAAGAGAAAAAAGGCAAACCCTATTTATGAAATAAATGGAAATAAACTGAATGTCAAACAGAATAAGCAATGATAGCCAGCTCTAACTGACACTGTCTACTCACCAGGGCAGCACAGAAACTTGGAGAAAACCCCATCAACGACGATTCTTTGAGTAAAATCCTACAGAAGCTTTCAGAAAGTCAAAGTGTAGTATCATAGTTGTAAGGAAAAACTAAAACCAAAATTCAATGGGATGCAAGCACATAGTTCTGAAGCCACGAATTTCCATTCATATACCAATTTTACCAGCCAACTGAGAATCCACTTTTCAAAAACACCTATCTATTCCTTCCCTCCTAGAACATCAATATTGTTCTCCAAGCACAGCAACATTCACCCCTCAGTCATGTCCTACCCCAACTGGCAAGAATTTTAAAACAAACAATATGAAAAGAAACAGTAGGCTAAATAATGAAATGATTTAACTAGCATAAAAACACATAACTGTCCAACACAGAGAATTTCTCACTGAGAACAGTCTAGCTTTACTGGGGTTGGATGGGAAGTATTTTGTAAACAAAGGAAGAAGTTCTGTCACCTGAAACTGGTGTCTTTCCACCACACTCCTAATTACCGATGAAACTTTGTTCACTCTAAAAGAGAAGATTATCAAGACTTTTTCGACATTAGACATGGATCTATGAAGCTAGACCAATCTGCACAGGACACTTGGTGCAATTTTCCACTTGCAAGACTCAACAATAACAACAGTGTTTTTGTCAACGCTGATGAAATTTTTGAGCACCTGTTTAAAAACAAGATCCAGAACTGGCACAATGCTTAGAAATCTGGCATCCTTAAAGATTCCAAAGCAAGCAGGACACCACTCTGTATTCCAGCCTATGCTTTAGCTCCCACATCAGGTCAAGCATTGGCTCTTTCATCTTCATAATCAGCTGTTAAGAGGAGAAGAAAAAGGTAGGATGTTCCTGCTATCATACTTTAGTCCCAGGTGCAACAGGTGGCAGGAAGACAGAACCTCAGCTGCTTTGCACCTCTTGCATAGCTATTTTTCAGGACCCCTCTTCCCATGAATAGCTCCAAGATTTGCTTCCTGAGGCCCAAAACATTTTTCAACAGTAGCAAATCAGAGTAGTTCTAGCTCAAATCAGCATCATTATATACTTCAACATTAAGCCAATCTGTGCATAGCAAGAGTAGAAATATCTGGATCATAACACCATTTTTTTTAATCCATACTAGTACTACTGGTTTATTTTAACAGAAAATCATTCTGGCTCAGGATGAGTGGGTTGATTTAAAATCTAGGTGCATAAGGCTACTCTGTATATATGTGGTCCTTCCTGTAACCAAAATCAAAAAGCCAACTGCTATTAATAATTGCTGTTTATTTCATTGTCCCCACTTCCGATTTCTTTTGGGATTGTTCTCCTAGTTTGTCTAGTTCATTTGAATAATTCTTTGTTATTATCTTCTTACTAACCAATCTTGCCTTCCCCAATTTTTCTTTTTAACAATTTACCTTTTTCTTACTATCTCTATAGCACTCAAACACTTTTTCAGATTCTATTGTCTCATTCCTCCCTTTCATTCCTTCTTCCATTTCTGCTCGTCTCCCCTTAAAATTCTAAGTATCCAATTATTCATTTAACTACCACAAAACAAATTAGTAGAAGCACAACATCCCTCTCTTGCCTCATGGACAGAGCAATTCCCAGCTAATGGCAACATAAACATTACCCTTAGCTTGAACTGGCACTGATTTGTTTTTAAACTGCTATCAACCCTTGCATAGAACCTGAATCGCATTGCTTCTAAACAATGGATGAGGAAAATAAAAAGCAAGTTTACACCTTTGGCCAGTTGACTCACAAAGACATAATTTTTTTCCCCTGGAGACATTAAGACCAGAGAGCCCCAGATGGCCAAATGGAAATA